AGAGAAGATAAAAAATAAAATTAATTAGTAAAAGAATAGAGATAAAAAGAAAAAATTTTGAACTTCTTTAACTATTAATATTAACTAACCATTTTTTTTAAATTATGATTTATTAAAAAAAATTGTTAGAAATAATATAAGTATTAAAAAAAATTGGGAGACTTTTTTTAGGGGGCCTCAAAGAAGGGTTTTAGCTGTTTGGGCCTTGAGCCGACCCTGTATTTCAATTTATATAAATTTTAAATTTTATGCAAACGAAGAATATTCAATTGGTAACTCGTTCATCATAAAAAATATTATACCTACAATATATTAGACTTCTGAACTAAAAGTTTATGTACTTATTCGATCCTAACTATTAGGATAATTAATCGAGATACTTGGTTAAATTAAGATGTTCAACATTATCCAAGATATAAGGTCATAACTCAACAAAATAGGAATAAATATCACATGATTTTTATAATGTTATACTCCACTAAAATAATAAGTTAATATTTGATAAAATAAAGATAAATATTTCATAATTTTATGTAATTATACTCATATAGTACCCTACAAAAAGATTTAATATCTTTCCGATTACTCACCTACTAATACTCATTATTTATTAATGTAATTATCGACTAAGTATTAGAGAGTCTTTATAACTCATTTTCCTCTTCAACATACATCATGACATTTTGAAAGTTATTCCTAAAATTAGGTTAATTTTTAAAAATCTCACTAAGAACAATTATCAAACTAAAATTAACAATTTTTATAGAAATAAATAGTTAAAAAGAAATTGTGAGATATATACTAACAAAAATTATAAAAACAAGAACTACATTTAGCTTGGTTTGAATTTTGAAAGGTAATAAATAGTTTTAAAAACCCTTATTTGTTCATGACATAGAAGGGGAGAGGAATGAAACTGGTTATGCACGTCATTGATCTGTGCAACACCCTCTAGCCAATAAGAACACAGAAACTTTTCTTTAGGTTAACCATCCTTAAACATGTTTAAAGAAACTTGTTCAAAAAATTCTTATAAATAAAAATAATACTTCAACATTATATATATATATATATATATATATATATATGAATAATTTAAAATCTTAAAAATCATTTTAATCATAATAAACTAATTACAATAATTTATTTTAAACATTTTTAACAAAATTTGTTAAAAACATTCTTATAAATAAAAAAAATATTTTAACTTTATATATATATATATATATATATATGAGTGAAATTATTTAAATTTTTCCAAAATATTTTAATTATAATAAACTAATTACAATAATTTTTTCTTAAATATTTTTAAAGAAACTTGTTCAAAAGACTCTTATAAATAAAAATTAACATATATATATATATATATGAATTATTTGAAATTTTAAAAAAATAATCATAATAAACTAAATTCAATTAATATTAAATGTATATTGATTTTTATTAAGCAATATATAAATTAGTTATTGCAATTTTATGATTCACATTTTTTATCATTATTATTGCATTGAGAAGGTAATGCAACTTAAAAACTTGTGAAAAATTATGATGCTTAGAGATTTCAATAAGATCTCATATATCCATACTATTAAAAAAAAATCCCATCATAAAAGCATTTTTAGAATAAAATGAACTAATTTAACTCAAGGGAAACCATAATTACCTATTCGCTTGTATTCTATTCAATAAATTGAAGTTTTAAGTTCATGATGTATATATATTTAATATATTATTAAATAATTATCATTAAAGATGTTTTTCATGAATTTAAAAATAAAAGATTTATCAAAATTAAAATTAGCTAATATTATTTTTTGTTAATCTCAATGAGGAATTCTTAATATTTATATTTTGAATGGAAAATAAATTATTTTTATCATAATCAAAATATACTATTTCGTATTGTTTAACAATTTATATTTTAATATATATAACAAGGCTGGGTAAAAGTTAAAAGATAATTATTTAATAATATAAAAAATTTAAGAATGAGTATAAAGGAGTTATTTATATGTTTATATGAATTTAATGATATAAATATACGCAAATATAAAGTTAAATAAATATATTTTTGAACATTTATTAATATATACACCTAGATAGGCCCCGCGAACAATTAATCTAGGCGCGCAAAGTAAAAGAGGGAATCCAGTCGTTAGGGAAGAGAAGAAGAAAAACATCATCTAGAGGTCCTTAAAACACCAGCTCATCAATCCGCACCTCAATCGACTTAATCTTGTCAGATCCTGTCCGTCTATTCTACTTTAGAACAGAACAGATAATAGAAGATCCACATCATCAATCCGCGCCAAACCCCAGTATCCAATTAGAACGTGTAAACCTTTATCTATATTTACAATCCTTGAACCTCTTCTCTTACACAACTTCAATCGCTTTGTTCCAATTTCCTTTCGAAACCCTAATTTTCTTCCGAGCACCAAATTCTCAACGAGATATGGCACCAAAGGCAGAGAAGAAGCCAGCGGAGAAGAAGCCGGCGGAGGAGAAGAAGTCCACCGTAGGAGACAAGGCTCCGGCAGAGAAGAAGCCAAAAGCAGGAAAGAAGCTTCCAAAGGAGGGAGCAGCAGGCGGTGACAAGAAGAAGAAGAGAAGCAAGAAGAGTGTGGAGACGTACAAGATCTATATCTTCAAGGTTCTGAAACAGGTTCACCCTGACATAGGTATCTCCAGCAAGGCCATGGGCATCATGAACAGCTTCATCAATGATATTTTTGAGAAGCTTGCTCAGGAATCTTCTAGACTTGCCCGCTATAACAAGAAACCCACCATCACCTCAAGGGAAATTCAGACTGCAGTCAGGCTTGTATTGCCTGGAGAATTGGCCAAACATGCTGTCTCTGAGGGTACCAAAGCTGTTACCAAGTTTACTAGTTCTTGAACAAACTATCTTTCTCTTGCTCTGCCATCCTGGTCCCTTGTGTTTGTTATTTGTATCTGGTGGATCTGTTGTTCTATGACTAGATTTGAATCAGTAGGATTTTAGTTCTATTTAAGTTGTAGAAATGAGATTTCCTTATCTGCTGTGTATTGAAATGGTGAAATTAATGATACAGAGGTGTTCCAAATGAATTTGTGCCTGTGTGTATTGCTATTTTATAGCTTAGGAATTGATTTGTTCAGCTTAGCTCGATTATGATGGAAATTGTAGCAAGTGTTTAGCCGTGGTAAATTGTTTGGACTTCATTGGTACATGGATTTTGAGGTTGCATTTAACGTCTAATTCTGGCAAGTTTTTCCTGTCTAAACTGTAGCCGTAACTTTGATGAAAATCAAATTGTTTGAAGTTTATGGACATGATTGAAAGTTGGCTTTGGAGCTCTATATATGTCATTAGATGTATAAGCTGGTCCTCTTCTGATAGTTGATCTATTATTGCTTTTAAAATCAACTTGAGATTTTTATAAATTTGAGATGCCGAATATAGAATTGTGCATATTTTCTATTGATTCTTGAAGCCCTTTGTATAGCACTTTTAATAACGAATATCTTTCATGCATTAATGGGCAAGTAAATACCGCCCATTAACTCGTGGGATTGTATAAATTGGAGTATGTTTGGGTTATGATTATTCCACCATGACTGTGTGTTTACAACAAATATAGATATGTTTATTTATATAGGAAAAGATCGCGACATCAATTCACACAACCCAAATCAGTCTGTGAGAATTTGAAATGCATTGAGTCGGAGATTTTGGAAAACTTAGATTAATTTTTGAGAATCTGAAAAGCTGAGTCTGAGATTTTGAAAATCTTTGATTAATTTTTATTTTTATAAACGAAATTCACTTTATATATCTTGGATGCAGAATGATTGGTGTTTAAATTTGTCAGCATCTAAAATATCTTATTTTTACAATTTCCTAAACTAATTTAAAATTTTAGTCTGAACAGTGTCTTACATGGTCTGAACTTTTAAAAGAACTTAGAACCAAGACAATAGGTAAGTTTAAACGTGAAGTGCCATCAAATGTTTGCATTAAAGTTTGTAATTCAAAGAAATTTGGTCCATTAGTTCCAAACATTTGCCAGTACTCGCGGATTCATGTAATGGTCAAAATATATTAAGAAACTTGAGTTACCTGATACAATGATTAATAGCTGATTAGCTAGACCCATTTTAGGTTCATTGAAAAATAACATGGAAAACTAAACATAAGTTTCAAAATGTTACTGGTAGTAATATTTTACGGCTAAATCTGAAGAAAAATCAAACAGGGAAACAACTGAGCCGCAGCTTATATTATCTCAATGATCTTATATTAATGTTGCTGTCCACTAGTTTTCAAGTTATATAGTCTCAATGATCCTATATTAATATTGGTGTCCACTAGTTTCCAAACTCATACTTATCACAACTGAGTCGAATAAAATTTACACGGTTCTTACAAACTTATTTGCGATTGTAGTCTCCCGCATATAACAGATTCGTCCCAATATCAATGGATCAACAAAACTAATTGGTTTTAAAATGAGAATAACCAACTTCACATGGAATAAAATTTGAGTGAAAACTCTTCTTTAAGTGAGACCAAGAGAAAATAACTTGGTCTAACCAAAAAGTTGTTTTAATAACCACCCAAATAATTTAATTAATAAAATAAAGAATTTAATCTTTTGAAATATAACAAAATATACAACAATTTCAAGTCAAGGAACAGGAGAACAATTCAAATCATCAAAACAAAATGAGACTTATCTAAAACGCCCGTAAATAGAAACTTGCATTGAATGACTAAACTTAAAAATTAACAGTATAGACTTCAAGTATCAAAGTTAGATAGTTAATAGACTTCAAGCATGTTTGACAGACTTGGTCCCTAGCCTTTGTGCGCATAACTAACCCTTATGCGTCTGCCATCCAGTATCTGTGAACGGATAGGGAACAAGATCCAGATATAAAAATGTTGGTGATATAGAAGCGAACCTTTTTAGCCAATAAGTTCGCATATTTTCCAAGATTGTGATATCATAAAGTCAATTCATGTTCAACAAACAGGGGAAATGAAAGAAAATAAAAACCTGGCCGTTCATTTCTTTGCGAGCTGTAGCAGCTATAGTTTCAGAAACGAACCGCACAAATCCATAACCTCTTGATTTCCCAGTTACGTGATCACATATTACTCTAACTGCAAAAGAAAAAAAAAATGAATTCTTCGCAATTGCAGCATAGTTTATATGACCAAAATAAGAATAAGAATAAAAAATATCTAAGATTTTCACCTTCGGTGATTTCACCATGCTTATCAAATGCATCTCTCAGAATCGGTTCATTTGTATCATAGGAAAGCCCTTTGTTCCAAAACAAAACCAAAAATCTCCCAGTTAAAATTGTACATTTGAGATGAACTATTAGAACTCTAACATGCTGCAATTAATAAGTTCTAAAAAAATAAAGGAGAGATGAAAGAAAGTGGAGAAGACCCGTGACAAACAAGTTGGTTGATGAATGATGACGCATACAGAGAAATCTAGATAAGGGGGTAAGAAGAGGGTTGCCTTTCGCTAATGCACTGGTTATTTGCATAACTGTGAACTTTCAATTGATAGTTTAAACACATTAAAGTGTTTTTTGCAGACTTGGGAAGAAACAACAAGCAGTTTTCAAATACAGTTCTTCGAAGCCATTCTGTTCCTTACAAGGACAGGCGAAATGACACTTTCTGCTATGACGACTAAGGGTGAGAAGGAGGAGCCACAAATTTGATTAAAGTAGTTTATTGGTCCTGTGATACTTCTAATCTGACCTGCAAGTATATTCCTGCAGCTAAAATAAACTCAGTTAAAATTCAATTTTTACAGTAACTCATCATGTTAATAGGATAAGCTTCATGAAGAAAATTAGCAACTGTGCAGGTTCCTCTATATACTAGACTTCAATATGATAATGCAATCAAAGTACTCTAATTGGTCCATAAGAAAAAGGTAGAAATTATATCCTTTAACAGAAAAAATGAATAAAAAGTAGTAATTTGAATGAGTATTCCTACCTACCTACCAAACATCGTTTTTAACTTCTTCAAAGCATTATGTTGTGTTTCTTATTGCATGGAAAAACTTGATTGCAACAACACACTGATATAAACAGCCACGCTAGTTGTCATACGATATGCAAGTAGGCATCCAGGATCACACAACAGATTAAAATATCATTCATTCTTCTATAAGAAATAATTCGCGGATAGTGACACCAGCTACTTTTTTCTTCTGATCTTCTTTTCTTAAGTACTTACAAAACAGTCTATCCAAACACACTCTAGATGTAGTTTCAAAGATCACTAAGAGTTTTACTGATACATCATCTTTTAGGAATAATCACCTAGAACATAACTATTTCCCAGTTCAAGTATAAAGCCTTGCAATAGGTTAAAATTGCTTTTAGAGAGTTTAGCTCAGTTCAAGTCATTCATAGTTCAACAAATACTACACAGACATATACAAAATTATTCAATAATAAACAGAAGAAATAAAATTCAAAGAAAGGCGGAAATACAGAAATATACATGCAGTCAGTGTTTAATCAACCCAGTTCCACAGTCCAGCAACAATGAATGATGAAACTTTCAAACACCAAAGGTTTAAAGAAATTTAATTCAAGGGTGAATGAAACTTGAACCGAACCCAGAATAAACAATCCAATGCAATTAATTATCAGAAACAAATCATTATTGATTAAGATTACCAATTGAAACTCAAATCCGAATCCTCCCCTTAAAACTGCTGCAACTCCTTCCTCCACTGCAACTCAAAGTGGCCTTTTGCTTTGATAGAAGAGGTTAATTTGAGAGAAGAATGTTGAGGATTTTCACACATGAGATAAATCAACATAAACCCCTTTTTCCTCCGCGCAACAGAGGTGACCACGGTGAGTGGAGAATCTAATTCAAAGTAAAAACTTCAGATTTCAGACTATTCCTTTCGTAATATTCCTTTTTTATATCATTTAAGAAAAAAGTCCAACAAAAATAAAAAGATAGGCCGCCTCTTCACTCCTCCCCGATGATTTCTTCTACACCCAGTAACATACGTAAAATATCAAAAATATCCCTCAGATTAGTTTTCTTCTTCTGTGTAACATCTCCATTACATTTTTAACCATTTAAGGACACAAATTTATTTGTAATTTATGCTATATTGTGTATTAAAAAATCTCATTAAAAAAAAAAGCATTTTATTACTGTTCTAGATGATTGAATTGGAAATATGAATATCGGAATCCGAATATAGGTTTTAGATAAACTAATTCAGAACTCATTTTTCCTAATGGTTCTAAAAAAAATATAATCTAGACTCATTTTTATATTATACTTTCTGAAAATATAAAAAAAAATCTTAAAATTATTTGATCGGATAAGGTTTCAGAAATATATTTATATTAAAAACAATATTGACATTTTAGATGGAGGTGATGAAAAAAGTTCGGGGTTCAGGAAGAAAATTTCAAAAGATATATGTGATTGCCCAAAACACCCAAAGGCCCAACAAGAAAAGAAAAGGTTTTATTCTAGTCTCTTTCTTTCACATTTGTTTTTTTTTTCATTCTTATTAAATACATTTTTTATATTTTAAATTTTTTTATTTTGTTTTATTTTAAATGTCTAATCTAATTGGTCTTACTTTAAAATAAAAGTATGATACTTTAAAAATTGATCATTCGTTTAAGCTAAGCGGTCAAGACTGTTATTTAAATTAGCATTTATAAACAAAATTAATACTAAATATCGTCCTTATTAAATATATTTTGGTCATATTAAAAACATATTATATGAAAATAAATTATTATTTTTATATACAAATTAAAAATAATTTTTAGATGAATATTGCAGTTGATTTAAGCTTAATGTGAAATGTCCATTTATTTAGAGTTAATGAAGTGGTGAACATAAATCTATGCACCATGATATTCAGAAATTGTGAACAAGATTGTTCCTTTCCCTTCTCCTTTAATAGCACTACTAGTGTTTGCCACTCTATTTTCTTATAATTATTTAAACCAAGTATAAAAACAAAATTGTTTCGATTTTAATTTAATAAAAAATTTGAACTAAATTAATATTCGCATTTTAATTTGAATCGATTTTGTATTTTTTTATTAAATTATAATATTTTATAAAAAATTGTTAAATATTATATTATAAAAAATTTATATGATTATGACTATACTAATAATTTTAATATCTTTTAAATGTATAAATAAATTAAACACTCTTATAATCCAAAATTATTATCATGACTTTATTAAATATAAATACATTATATATAAAATAAAATATATTTTTCATATAATAATTATAAAAAAATCAATTAATTAAAACATTTTGTCAATTTTTTTTATGTAATATGAGTTATTTTGTTAAGTTTATAATCATCCCATTTAAATATTCTATGTAAACTATAATTGATGTGTACACATATATGTGATTTTAATTAAATACTTAATTTTTATTCTATGTAAACTATAATTGATGTGTACACATATATCTGATTTTAATTAAAGAATAAATTAAAATTAAGATTAATCACAAATATGTATAATTATAATTAATCAATAGGAGCATATACATCTAATGATTCACACAACATAAAACTAATCATTTCTCTAATTATAATAATTAAAAAATTAATAAAATAATTATTAATATATGAAAAACAAACTAATGTTTTATTTTGTTAAACACAAATATTTATCATAATTATTATATGAAAAATGTATTTTATCTTATAAATAAAATATATTAAAAGTGGATATAATAAATAAGTTTATTAGTTGATAATTAATTTTAAATATATAATATTATATTTAAATAAAAGATGTGGTTGAAAAATACTTATGGAATTACACATTTTATTTTTAATGAATAATCACGTTAAGATTTCTTAAATTCATTAAATATATTTAATTTTTTTATTTAATAATAATAACAATAATAATTAAACAGGTATCATTCAAACAATTTAATTGTCCACATGTTAATACAATGTAACTTTTACTCGAAAAATTCTCTAAAAATGATTCTAAACGATATTTCATTCAAATTTTCTTGTTGAGCATATTAACACTTTGTCCAAGTAATTAGGTAATGCGCTGCTAAACACAATCAACTATAGCAATATATGATACAAAAATTTACGAAACAAGATTAAAATTGGATTAATGGTTTCATCATTTCCAACAATGTAACTTTATAATTTGTAACTAATAACTTGTTTGAGTTGACTATTAATTTAATTATATTTGAAAAGAGGATTGCTTTTAATTAGTAAAAATAAGATTATATATATATATAAAAAGTTTATCTGTTTTCATATAAATAATTATTAAAATTGATAAATATTTTTTTCTTTCTAAAAATGGATTATTTATCATCTATAGTTATTTTTTAGTTTTATATTTTTATCTCTTTAAGGGACTATTTTAAAAACTAGACCAAGTCGACGTGTTCAAACGATATGTTATTTTAAAAAAACTGGATTTTAATTGAATTGTAACTTAAAACAAAATAAAAATTAAGGATAAAAACTTTTTTAATAATTTTTTTATAAAATATATATATATATATATATATATATATATTTTAGTTTTTTTTATCTTATATTAGTTATATCAATTTTAAATAATAATTATCTTATCGTATAATAATGATTATTTGTATACTTTGTATTATATATATTTATAATATTTATTATAATTTACAAGGATAATGATAGTAATGTTTATTTTTTTCTTTTATAAAAAATGTTACTACTAATAAATGTATTATATACTTTTTATATTATAAAAATATAATTTTATTAAATTCAGATAGATTTCAATTGAATTTTAGTTTAGTCTTTAAATCTTAAACTCATATTTTAATCGGTTTAATGATCAGTAGAATTTTAAAAATATTGATATAAGTTGAGAATAGGTACAAACGATAAAATAGAGTAGTGAGAATAAATATAATATAAATTAATATTATCTTAATATAATATATAAAATTTCCTTTTTAACTTTATCAATATATTTCATTTATTTTATATTATGAAGATTTTAATTTATTTTTTAGTTATTAGTTAAGATAGATGAATCAAAAATTAATCAATCATTCTTTAGGTGATATTTATTCATTTCAGTTTAACCTTCATTTACAATCAAATTTTTATAAATATTATTCTTTTAATGGAATTAAAAATAATAATTAAATAATATAATATAAATTAATAAAAATGTGTATATATGAAGATAAAATAAATAAATATCAAATAAAATTAATAATAAATAAATAAATATAATAAAAGACTAATAAATAACTTGAGATAAATAAAAATAAAATAAAATTAGTGTAATTGAAGATAAACAAAATAAAACTATTTTATAAATTAAAATAAATATAATTTAACTAAATATAAAATAATAATTAAGATAAAGTTAGTACACCTCACCGTTAATCAAAATTAAAATAAAAAATGTATTATCCCTGCCTTAAATCTGATAACCAAAATTTTACAAATGTATTTATATATATATATATATATATATATATA